AAGCGTCACCACATTCGTAGGGTCCCGAGAGGTCCAGCGAATGGTGTCTTATGCAGATCACCATGACACCTCGCCGTCCCTGGGGGTCTGCAATCTGCGAAACTCGTGCCACTTTCGTGGGCTCCTGGGGAGTCCAGCGGAGGGATGTCTTACACAGATGAGACCTCGCCGTCGCTGGGGGCGCTGCGGTCTGCGAAGGGTCGCCATTTTCGTGGGGTCTTGGGGAGTCTAGCGGAGGGCTGTCTTACGCAGATCACCATGAGACCTCGCCGGCCTTCGGGGACTGCGATCTGCGAAACGGTTGCCACCTTCGTGGGCTCCTGGGAGGTCCAGCGGAGTGGCGCCTTACGAAAATCATCATGGGACCACGCCGTCCCTGGAAGTGGGGCTCGACACGCTGAACTGTCGCAACTTTCGTGGGTTCCTGGGAGGTCCAGCGGAAGGGCGCATAGGCACATGACCATGAGACCTCGCAGTCCCGGGGGGGGGGGGACGGACTGTTATATGCCAAAGTGTCCCCACTTTCGTGGGTTACCATGAAGTCCAGCGGAGTAGCGTCCTACGTAGATCACCAAGAGACCTCGCCGCCCCGAGGGGCTGAGTTCTGCGAAATTGTCTCACTTTTGTGGGCTCTTCGGGGGTCCAGCGGAGTGGTGTCTTGCGCAGATCACCATGAGACCTCGCCGCCCCGAGGGATGTGTCCTTCGCCGGGCTACTGTTTCTCCTCCTGCTCCTCCTTATCGTACCCATTATGTTCGTCCCTCCTTGTCGTCGCGTCGATTCCACCAGCCGTCAGTCAAATGTGTCGCGGTGCCCCTCCCGAAGGCAGTCCCCGTACAAGACGAAGGCCTGCGCTGACGAGGAGTACATGAAAAAAACGCTTCAATATACGGCTGGCCTTCAACAGGATGGGGATACCGGCTTATGGTTCACTGGCAGGAACGGTCTGATCACGAGAGACGTCAAGAGAGAGATCAAGGCGATGAAACCCAAGTGGGGCTGGATGGAGTTGTCCATGGAGCCTTCTGAGAGTCAGCTGTTGACGCTTATGCCGAGGCTAGCCCAAGGCCGTTCGGGGATGCTCGACATATCAGAAGACTATTTGGCCGCGCACTGCGGAATCCGCCCCCGCCCCCCCCCGACCCCCAGCAAGAGCAACGAAAAACAGTCAGTCGAATTCTCGAGGAAAGGCCCAACAGAAACCGAGAGTGCTTCGACGTCACGTTGCGGCAAATTCAACACCTTACAAACCGCACAGATCTGGCGTCGAAGTCTAGAGCCGTCTTACAGGTGGGTTGCCCTTGTATAGGGCTCGTGGACATTCGCACAATGAAGACGAAAAAAGCAATTGCAGAGCAGAAAGCGTGCGATCGCCGGTTTGTGCCCGGCAACACCGCCTTCCGCGCGATGAGAGACGTGCCCCTCCTCAGCGTCAAGGCCATGGTGAAGGTCAGCCCTCTGGACCGCGATGGCGTGTACAAAGGTCTGATTGCTTCGGAGAAGTGGACGCCGAAGAAGAAGCACGACGAGGAAACCATGGGCGTGGACGACGAAGATGACGCCGACGACGACGAGGACTCAGGAAATAGGAACATACCTCAACAGATGCCCCCCGCCCACTCCTCCGCTTCCCCGCGCCCGAGGGCGAGCGGGAGGAGGGGGTGGGGGGCAGCTGCGTCGGCGAGAATGCTTCTGCGCCCTCGAGGAGCAGGACGAGCCAGACGTAGACGCTCAGGATGCTGAAGGCAAGGTCCCCTTGTGCCTCTTGGAGCAGCACCCCAAGGTAGGCCACGTTAAAAACAGTGTATAGGAAATAGCGTTGACCTTCGTTCGAATATGTTTCTTCCGTGGTTTTGGGCATGTGCTAAACGATGCGCGCTTGCCGTGCCGCCCGAAGGGCCGCAACATTTCGTATTGTTCCTTGTTCCTGTCAGCCGCGTTGAGCGGCGTGAGGCCCCAGCAGCAGCAATATGCATGACAGGCCCCCATCCCTGCAATGCTCGTTCTAATTTCGATACTCAAGCAGTGGCGAACTGTGTCCAGGGCACGGGGTGGGATGGAGAGAAGGAGAGTGTTTGCGTTTGTCGGTTTGGTCGCCTGGCCGAGGTCGCCGCGCAGCACTTGTGGGAGAATCGCTGCCGCATCCTGGTCGACTGGACCCCTGGGCCGATGGCGATGGTGAAAGCCGCCATCACGATGGGCGTCAAGTGCGTCGTGGTCTTCAACAACCCAGCGCACAAGAAGGTGGGGAGGAAGATTCTCGTCGACTACGTTCTGCAAGGCATCGAGGCGGACGCGAGCCCCTTCACTCCCACGGACAAAGATGATCAGGTCGACAAGGCTAAGCCGATGCGGTTGAAGGCTTGGGAAGCTCAGCTCTCGAAGAAGCGGGGTGCATCTCAGGGGGAGGCCCCGGCGGCCAAACGGGCAGCAGCAGCCGCTAATTGGGAGGCGCTTCTTGAGGCGGCAGGCAACGGCAATCCTTTTGCAACGCCAGACAAAAAGCCGCCGTCTGTTGCTGCCACTCCGAAGCCCAAGTCCCCTGCCGCCCCAGCCGGGGAAGCGCTGGCCGCCGACGCCCCGCCGGCGCCCGCGGCGGAGGCGTCGCCGGCACCGAAGGTGCCGAGTGGGGCGCCGCCCGGCCCAAGCCACGGGGCCACGGCCGCGGCGGTCACCGGGCCAGCATCGGATTTAGGCGCGCTTCTGAAGCAGTGGGCCTGAGGGCCGACGCGCGCCAGCGGAGTTGGGGGCATTTTGTAGGGGTCTCGGCGCGCTGAGCGGAGCGCGGTTTTTCGCCGTGGGTAGCGCCCAGAGATGAGCGCCAAACTTGTTTAAGGAGCCTGGTTTTACAGGCGCGGCGTTTTAGCGCGAGCTTCTCCGCATCGCCCCCCCCGCCCCTCTTCTTCTGCCTCCTCGTGCCCTTCCCATTCGCGGTTCCGTCCTCCTCCACCGCCTCGTCTCTCACCCCTCGTTTCTCTGCCCTCGCCCCCCCGCGCTCCCCTGCGTGCGTTGCCCCGCCCCCCCCCCGTCGCGAACGTGCGCGTCCGCGCGTGCGCGCGCGCCCCCTCCATGATGCGCGCGCGCGTTCGCAATCGGCGCGCGCGCGACCAGCACGCGCGCGCGCAGTCGTGCGCGCGCGCCCTTGCAGTCGGCAAAAGCCGCCGCGCTTGGCTCGTGGACAAGAGGGGTCGCGGGTGGCTCATGGGGGTATATTTGGAGGCTTCTCGTGGGCCTCCGGTAGTAGTCTTGAGGACCTCTGGGTGGCTTCTTGGGGGTCTGCTGGCGGTCTTGGGGGCCACCTTATGAGGAAAGGTTGCAAATTTCAGTTCGGGTTCACCTTCTTGGGGCCTTGTTGGGGGACGTGTTTGGCCGTCTTGAGGCGATCTTGGGCCGTCTCGGAGGCCTCTCGGGGGGCTCTCGAGACGTTCTGGGGCGATCTTGAGGGCCCCTTGGACCGTCTCGGGCGGCCCGAATCCCGAAATGGCGAGAGCGTTTGAAATGCTTCAGCAACTCAAAAGAAACCAACATGGTCTCACTTTCAAGTCCCTCCTGGGGGTCTTCTCTGGCCCCTCCTCGGGCGCCCTGGAAACATCTTCGGCCATCTCGAGACCAAATTGGGCCACCTTGGAGCGCTGTTGGGCCAACCCGGGGCTCTCGCGAGCCGTCCCTGGCCCCTCTTCGCTCGCGTTGGACCCTCCTACCCAGCCTCCGGAAACGTCTTGCGACAGTGCCCAGGGCCGCGCGACACACCATATGACATCCGAGACTTCGGCCCCCGGTTCTTTAAAACACTTTCGATATTGCGCACTGAAATTACCAGAAGACTTGCGGGCGCCTCATTTGGTGGCAGACGCGTGCCAGTGCAAGTCGTGCAACCGTGCGCGGGGCGACCGCGAGCATTGTCATGCACGCGTGTCAGAGCATTCATGCGGACATGATCGGACAAGTGCAAACATGGACACGCAGCATGGCCGGTGCCTCATTCGCCGGTTGCCGAAGCGTTTGAATGGCCGACGGGCGGGCATTTTTGAGCTGCAGGTAGTTTTTGAGATGCGCATTCCAAAAGGGGCAGCATCTGTTCGCGAGCAAGGTTAACGTTTTTCCCAAATGTTCCGGGGCCCAAGCAGGCTGCGCACCCAATCGCACGAGGTCCAAAACTGAAGTGCTGCACTACAGCGTTTTCTGCGCCCCTTATTGGTCTGCGCGGCGTCTTGCCAGGCAGGGCCGCGCGCTCGACAACGGTTAGCAACGGAACGAGCACCGCTAGTTTTAACGCGGGGCGCGAAGCTACACGTCAGAAAGAGTCTCTGCCTTCCATCTAGGCTGAGTGATCTTGCGTCATGTGTGCGTGAGATTATGTTGGGGCCTTTCATTGACCATGCGAATGTTGGGCACTCCCTGCCCCGCCACCCACCCACCCCCGTCGCTTCCGAAACCCCGAGACGTTTGCACTCCTGGCGCACATCTTTGGCACCGTGTTTTGTTTTGTAGGAGCGAATCAGACAATCGGTTCCCGTGCATCGCGGGAGGCACAGATGTACTTTCTGCGACGCAATCGCAGTTGGGCCAGGCAAGGGTTGCATTCATCTTGCATCTACTCAGGATACGGGAGTGGGCGCAAAACCAGTTGCCAGCCTGAGCGCCCTGATTTCCCATGGCCTCTGTCATTTGTCACGTGGGGATTGCCTGGGGGATCGTCGCCGTCCTTTAGAGTTTTCAGGGGTCAATGCGAAGTGCATCTATCTTTGTTGCGCCGGCAACGACCTTCTTTTACGTGCTAATCGATGGCCGTGCTTTGGGTAGTCACGTTGGCATGCTTGGCACCAGCGACTGCAATGAAGTCTACAGTTCAGGACGCGGGTCTGACACCAAAACTCACATCTTCTTCTTGGCATTGCTATTTTAGTAGACATGTGGGGTAGGGGGGCCATGACAAGTCCAGAGCTTCCGAGTCCCGTTTTAGAGATGAGCTCTATGTGAGGGGACCATTTTTTGACTTGATGCCTGTGTATGCAGTGTCTCTCGGCCCGCTCATGCACAGGACCTGCCCGTTGTCAACCTGGTGGACCCGACGTTCCCTGATTTCGGCATTGATGATCTGAAGATCCGCGCTTCGCATTTCATTTTGGAGACGGCTGCGTTTGCAGCCTGGGGCACCACTCCTACTGAGTCCCTGCCAGAGGACGCGCGCGCTTCGGCGTGGCGGGTGCCGGAGGCGATCGTGAAATTGATACCAGAAGCCGTTCAACAGATTTTGCGTTGCACTGACGGTCAGCCGTTGGTGGTCCTGCGCAATTTCGATTTCGTCGATATCTGCGCTGGCAGCGCCCGCATAACCCGCTGGTGTACTTGGGCAGGTCTCCAAGGGTGCGCATTGGATCGGCTGTACGGGAGGCACATGGATATCAACGCAGATGCAGGCGAGCGCGTCGGTACAAACATGTCCAGGTAATTATCCCCCCCCCCCGCCCCTCCGGTTCCTCACCCTCCTCGTCGCCCCCATCCTCGCCCCAAGCCTTCTCCTCTCCCTCGCCCCCCCAACCCGTAGTCGATGCAGCATGCGCACTCGCAGGTGGGTTCGCTCAGCGTTGGCCCCCCGACTCCAGCCATGCGTTGCCCAGTTTTGCCCTCGCGCTCCCCCTTCTGACCCCTTCGCCCCAGCCAAAAAGGTCACCAAAAGACTTGTAATGGTTGACTCGGGTCGACCTGGCATGCGCCCCCCAAGGCATGGCCCTGGCGATCTTGGCAATACTTCGCGTGCGGGAGCACGGCCTGGTGTTCATAGCAGCGCAGTGCTCGTCGTGGGTGTGGGTGAGCCGCAGCTCGACGGGCCGCAGCAAGGCCAACGTGATGGGGAACGCAGCAGCGCCATCCGTGATCGAAAGCAATATTTTGAATTGTCGTTGTGCGGTTTTGTGCTTGTTATGTGCTGCAATCGGGGTGTACTGGGTGATCGAACAACCCGGCACGTCCTTGTTTTTTCAGACGGCAGAAATGCAGCATGTCATGCTCAACACAGGCGCCCGCCTGGTCAAATTTTATATGAGCTCGTACGGCCACCCCAGCTGCAAAGATACGATTCTGGTTGGGACAGCGCCGTGGTTGCCGCAGATTGCCTTCGGAAGCGCGTCGCTTACATATAGTTCTGCAACACCGAAGGCCAAGCCGCGCCCGAGGTCGCAGCCGAAGAAGGCTGACCAGGTCCGCGGAACAGCCAAGCTTACGACTGAAGTTGTAAAGCATGGTAAAAAGAAAGTGACGGGCAACAAGCCTTATCCAATTGGCTCCTGCCGCCCCGTCAGCCTCGGCGCATATTCAGACTGACATGTGGGGGTTGCCGTTGACTTCTCCTGCTACTGGCGCGCGCGCCTCATCTAAAACTCCTACATGTACACTTGCCTTCACGTGCCTTGACAAATACATTAAACATAGGCATCGTTGTGTCCCTAATTATGGGTGCGAGTGCTGACTCGCCGATGGGGGCAACAATGTTGCCCGGAAGTTCTCAAGGCCAGCCAGGTGTACCCGGCGCGTTTTGCCAAGGCCGTGTGCCTGAAGCATTGGCCCGCTCGGTTTGGGGGCGCCTGATCGGGTGCAAACGTTCGAATGCATGCGCGCGGCGCTGTGCGGGGCTGCGGGAGCTCGTATTTTAAATGCGCGAGCGAGCCACGCATGAATTTAGCCAGTTCTGTGAGAGCGTTGAAAACAAACCGCCGCCAGCTACCGTTCGTTCCACCCCTCCCCATGGGCCTCCTGTCCTCGTTCTGCTCTCCGTGCCTCCCCTACCTGCCAGTCGCCCTGAAGCGGTGGCCGGAATGCGCCCGCCCCTCGGGTCGGGCGAAAGGGGGGATAGCAAAGAGAAGTTTAAGTATCAGCTCGAGTAGCTGACTTTCCCGGCGCCTCCCGGCGCGCCCATGCATCGAGGAGTGGGCCCCTCGGCGGGGCCGGAACCAGCTGCATTCAGCAGATTTCGTAACCCCCCCTTTCCCTATCCCACCTTTCGTTCGGCCCGAGCCCCGCGGCCTCGACGCCCACCGGGAGGGCGAAGAACCTGCCTGCCGGGAGGCAGCCCGACCAGGGAGGAGGACGAAGACAATGACAACGACGAGAAAGAAAAAGAAGAGGCGGGACAGGAACGGCGCAAGTGACAACCTGGGCAAATGAGGGGGAGGGAGAGGAGGAGGGGAATGGGGAACACACGGAGGGAGGCTGGGAAGGGCCGTGGGGAGGGGGGGGGAGGAGGGGGGAGGACCCCTATCGATCCCCATTTTGTTTCACACCGCGTGCGCGCCCATCAGCGGGCGCACCCATGAAATATGCCTGCGAGTCTACGTATACACAGTGTACAACAACCCATGCTATTCGACGGGCGCTTCGCTGAGCACGAACAGCAGAAGGCAGCGCTGGCCACATGACCTCAAAGCTTTATGCGCCATCATGCTGACAAGCCGTTGGCCACGGGACTTCTCCGCTCTAGAATGCCTTAGTTCGGCGCCTTGAATAAATTGTTGTGCAGGATGAGCGGGGGGAGGGCGATTGGGGTGCGAGCGGGGGAAGACGGGTGGACGGCCATGAGTGGGAGGAGTAGAAAGAGGAAGAGGTATAAGAGGAAGAGGAAGGATATGCTGGATGCTGCGCGCCACGATTCCGGCGGCCAGGGACACGGGCACTAGAAACACCTTGCACCATGCATCAATGCGTTTGACCGGGTTCGAACAAGATCGATCACCTTGAAAGGCTACGTTCCAAATGTGGGCCCCGCCCGCAACGGTTCCTGTCGCCGACCGGCGGTCATTCAACAAATATTGAAGGCGGTATGTCTGCATGTCCGAAAACACCTCCTGTTGAGGCAAATCCTGGGCCAAGCGGAATATGGTCGTCCACGCACGGGCTCCGCATCGGCGACAACATGCACATTGCCCCATTGTTCGCACGACTCGACGACCACCCTGCGGCATGGAACGCGGTTGCACTGCCCACCCTCATCGGCATGCATTGATTAGAAATCCAGAATCAGATACGTGCGCACATACGGCGATAGATGGCGATGCCGTGCCCCGCACACTGGAACATCCCGATTGCAGGGCCCACCGGGGTGACTCGGAAAACATACCGTTCACGTTGTACCATGTTCGGTGTCCAGGACAGCGAGTGAGCCCAGACAGGCAATGCGCAGTCACCCTTCAGGCTCCCCCACGGCATATAGCAAGGGCACGAGTCGGAAGCTCGGCTCGCCGGGCCCGAGTTCCGTTGCAAGCGAGGCCAGCGCCCGCCATGAATCGAGCATCGCGCGGGGCCAACTCCAATCATCCAATATACTGGCGCCCTCGCAAACCACAACGGTTTTCGGCGTTTTTGCATGCAACGCAAAAACTCATTATGTTCCGTCTTGCCGCGTTCGGGTCTATGGAACTTGTTTTTGTTGTGTTTGTTTGTTCTCTCTCTCTCTCTCTGCTTCTCTCTCCTCTCTCTCTCTCTCCCTCTCCCTCTCTTCTCTCTCGCTCTCGCTCCCTCGCTCTCCCTCTCTCCCTCTCCCTCTCCTCCCCGCCCTCCCCCTCTCCCTTTCCCCTCCCCCCCCCTCCCCCCCTCCTCCCCCTGCTGCTCCCCCTTCCCTTTCCTGCCCTCCCCCCCCCCTCTCTCACTCCACCTCCCCCTCCCCTCCCCTCCCTTGCCCCCGCCGCGGCCCCGCCTCGAGGCTGGGGGCCTGGACGGCGACGGCCGCGACGTGGAGGGCGCGGAGGGCCTCGAGGGCCCTGCGCCGCCCCGCGCGCTCGGCGCGCGGCGCGCGCCGCTCCCGAGGAAGGGAGGGAGGCGCGGGCAGGGGGTGGGGGAAGGGGGAAGGAGGGGGGAGGAAGGGAGGAAAGGGAGGAAGGGACAGGAGGAGGGAGCAGCAACAAGGGGTGGACAGGGGAGGGAAGGCGGGGGGGACAGGAAAGGGCAGGGGGGAGGAGGAAAGGGCAGGGGGGAGGAGGGAGAGGGAGGAGGGCGAGGGGGCAGGTGGGGGGAGGGAGAGAGGGAGAGGGCGATTCTCGGGCCGGGCACAAGGGGGGGATAGCAAAGGGGGGGTTTGAGAACCAGCTCGCATAGCTGATTTTCCCGGCGCCTCCCGGCGCCGGAGGCGGCTATGCATCGAGGAGTGGGCCCCTGTGGGCGGGGCCGAAACCAGCTGCATGCAGCAGATTTCGTAGCACCCCCTTTCCCAATCCCCCCCCTTTCGCCCAGCCCGAAAAACTCGAATCGTTGGAGGTCTCGGGCGTTGGCAGCAGCAGCAGCAGCAGCGACGGCGCCAGGCAGCAGAGGCAGCACCAGCTGGTAAGTTCTGCCCCCGGTCCTCGAGGATCGAGGGGGGAGGTTTTCGGATGTTTCGGGTTTGGGCGTTTTCTTTCATTTTGTGGCGTCTGGCGCCTTTGGGGGCCTCCGGGGGCCCACAGGGCCATGGGAATCTCCAGGAACCACGGGGGCCTCTGGGGGTCAGCCTCCGGGGCGGGGGGCAAAACTTGCCGCCGGCAGCGACAGCGACAGCGCCAACTGAAGCAAGACTCAGAGCAGGGGCAACGGCACAGGCAGCAGCAACAGCAACAGCAACATTTATAGCAGGAACACAGAAAACCAACATCATAAAACAAATTTCGGGCCGCCTGTGGTTTTTAGGGCTATATTGGAGGCCTCTTGGGAGACCATTCCAAGATCTAGGGCTCAATGCTTTTGGAACGACATTTTTACTCTGAGGCTGAATGTGAAGTGCTGGAACGGTATTCCAAAATCTAGGGCTGAATGATTTTTGGGAACGGCATTCCAAAATCTAGGTATGACCTGTTTGGGAACGGTATTCCCAAATCTAGGGTTCAATTATTTCGGAACGGCATTCCAAAATCTAGGAAATCTGGGCCTGAATGTTTTTTTGGGGACGCTATTCCAATCTCTAGGGCAAAATTCATTTCGAACGACACTCCAAAATCTAGGGCTGACCGTTCTTTGTAACGGATTCTTTGTAACGGGATTCCCACATATGGGACTAAATGCGGGTGGCGCGGCACTCCAACATATGGGGCGGATTGCGTGACATCTCGTGAAGGTTCTTGGTAATGCTGTTTACATAGAAACAGGTGCGGTAAAGAGATCACACACCACGGGCAAACATAAGGTGGACGCCCCGGCGCGGGCAACGATACCGCACCTGACTCTTGCGGGGCAGGCGTTTGTGCGGACAGGAATCGTTCTACATAAAGAAAAGAGGGCCGCTCGACGGGGGAAAACAAATGCTTACATATGCACACCACACCAGGACCAGAGGATTTATTAATCCCGCGCGCGCTGCACTCCGCGAACCTCCTCTGGCCTCCTGACGCCTCCTGCGGCCTCCTGGGGCCCCCTTAGCGCCTCCGGGAGCCCTGCTGAAGACGTCTTGGGACCTCGTGGGAACTCCTGAAGACTCCTGGGGCCGACTGGCACCGTCTGCCAAGCCATAGAGTCAGACTCCTCGCAACAGTCGCGTGCTGGAGCGAGCCTTTCCACAAGCGGGAGGACAAGGAGAAGTAAAAGATAACCTGTAGACTGAAAATTCTTGCAATTTTCGCGTTCTGAAAGGAAGAAAACTGGCGACGACGATGGCGACGAAAAGGATAAAGACCACAACGCATTAGCAATGTTGCCCCCCCCGGTTCCGAACTAAACTTGCCGATGACGACGACGACAGCGAACATGAAGACCACAACACGTTGACAAATTTGCCAACCCCTCTGGTTCCCGACTGAACCTGCCGACGGCGACGACGACGGCGAAAATGAAGATCACAGCGTATTAACAAAGTTGCCCCCCCTGATCCCGGACTCGACCAGCCGACGACGACGACGACGGCGAAAATGAAAACCACAACACGTTAATAAAGTTGCCCCCTGGCTCCATACTGAAACTTGCCGAAGACGACGACGACCACGGCGAAAATCAAAACCACAACACGTTAACAAAGTTGCCCCACTGGTTCTGGATTGAACCTGCCGACGACGACGACCACGGCGAAAATGAAGACAACAACACGTTAACAAAGTTTCCCCCTGATTCCGGAAAGTCTGCTGACGACGACGACGACCCGAAAATGAAGACCACAACACGTTAACACAGTTCACCCCTGGTTCCGGATTCAACTGCCGACGACGATGACGACGACGGCGAAAATGAACACCACAACGCGATAGCAAACTTGTCCCCCCCTGGTTCCCGACTAAATCTGCCGACGACGACGGCGGCGGGTAGCAGTGAACAGATAGCGTAGGCTCAAAAATTTGGGGCTGATTGTGTTCGGAACGGTATTCCAAAATCTAGGG